GAGAATACATTTTTTTTTAGACTAAGTGAATTTTTTAGGTGACATACAAATTTTTGTGATTGAACCCAAAGTATTGTAGATGGCGTTGCGGGTACCCTCATGTAAAATATAAAAAATAAAATATGATATTCTACTAAGCGTTGCGGGTGCCCTCATCTATATCTATATCTATATCTATATCTATATCTATATCTATATCTATATCTATATTTATATCTATATCTATATCTATATCTATATCTATATCTATATAAAGAGGTTGTTGGAAAAATACATTAATATAAAGTTTGACCAAATAAATATAATGTTTGACTTACTATTAATGAAAAGTTCAAAAAACATATGTGAATCTTTAGTAACAAAATCTAAATCCTATTTTTTAGTAACAAATTTGGAGATTCTTATGGCGAAATTTGAATCCTATTTTTTTCGTATCATATTTTATTTTTTTTACCAAAATTAAAATCACATCTTTTTTGTAACAAATTTAGAGATTCTTATGCAAAAAATGTGTCAATTATTTATGGAAACAATTCTAAATACAAATTATTTTATAAATCATGCAAATTGGATACAAATTTAGGAAGCAAATAGTTGTATAATTCTTCGCCAATTCTTCCAATCTTATTGAATTATTTTTACTTTCAAAAAATTGTGTAAATTGAATAAGGCCATGTGCAATTTTTATTTTAAAAAAAAAATGATATTTGGACGGGATGTACATTCAAAATTGTGTTCACATTTTTTGGCAAAAAAAGCGGTTCATCATTAATATTTAAAGTCACCTTATCCAATTATCTTGGTTGTGTGCAACTTTTCAAAATTCAAATCAATTTTTTTGGATTATTATGTTTTTTCTTAACAATGTATTACCGAGATTTTGGTAAGTTCATATCATTTTTTTTTTTGGTTAAATTCATATCATTTTTTTTTAGTAAAAAGACAGTTACATTAATATTAACAATTTATTTCATTTTTTTATTACAATTATGTTCAATTCAATTTGTTTGGTACAAAAATCGGTGCAATGTTAGGAAAATTCAGTTGCATTTTTAGGAAAAATTGATGATTATTTTATTTGGTTTAAAAAAAAAATTCGGATTAATTTGCTTGATAAAAAAATTGGTTTATTGGTAGGAAAATTGGTTTCATTTCCAGGAGTAACTAATGATTCTTTTCAATTTTTCTTAATTGAAATTTGGGATTAGATTTAAAATAAATAATGTAGTGAAAATCTCCAAAAAAATGTACTTTTTTTCTACTTTAATTTTGTTTAATAAATAAAATCCTTTAATATTTTAAAATTTGTTAACTAATAACCAATAATATGTAATTTTGGATATATTCAAACACATATGTAGTGTTTTACGTGCCAAAGAATCAAATTAATAATATTGTACATAAGAAAGTGTTTAATAATATATAAATTTTATTTCCATGAATTTTTAATGTTATGAGATAATTTCAATACAAAAATACATTTTAAAAAATAATAGTAATAAATGCTCTCGTACTATAAAATAAAATAACAGCAGACTCCAAAAGGCCAAAATAACAGCATAGGTCGATAGCAAGCTTCGCTGCTCACACTCTCATGGCAGCTCCACGGATCCTCCTCTGCGGCGACGTCCATGGCCGCTTCAACCAACTCTTCAAACGCGTTACCTCCGTATGCTCTGCAAACCTCCTCACGCTCCACACACTGTCTAACCAAATACGCGATTTTATGATTAATTATTATGCTAACTTCAGGTGAACAAATCGGCCGGGCCATTCGACGCGCTGCTCTGCGTGGGTCAGTTCTTCCCGGACTCTCCCGAGCGCGTGGAGGAGTTCAATGACTACATTGAAGGCCGCTCCAAAATCCCCATTCCCACATACTTCATCGGCGATTACGGCGTTGGGGCTGTAAAAGTACTGTCGTCGGCGGCCAAGGAGTCGGCAAATCTAGGGTTTAAGATGGATGGATTAAAAGTCTCTGAGAATTTGTACTGGTTGAGGGGCAGCGGGAAGTTCCTGCTCCACGGTAATTAATGCCCAAAGTTCAGTGTGTTTTTTTCTTTTTTTCTTTTTTTAAATTTGTTTTCCTTCTACCGGTTGTGTGTGGTCAGCTCTAGTGCAGCTGTGAAATCGTTTTCAACGATTATATTAGTTGTCGATTTACTGACTGATTGTGTATTCATGAGTAATGTAGTTAATCAGTTGATTTCAAATGTCACTTGGTGATACTAAAATGATTAATATTTTTTCTTTATCATCAAAATGAGAAATCCTTGATGTGGGATGGATAGTTGCTGCTTTGCCATGATTTGTAGTTTGCAAAAGGGCTTGAATTCCAGTTATCAGGTGTTGTTTCTTTTATTGATTGTTTGAATCGGATATCAGGCAGCAATGCTGGGATATCCAGTTGAATGACTGAAATAATATAGAATACAGGACCGACAAAATATTGATAGGGTTGTGTTCTGAATTTCAGAATTGGCTTGTTACTGGCGCTGCATTATAATTATCTAGTTATTATGTAGTATTAGCAAATTATAATGGAGTTTTCAACTGTAAAAGATTTGAATCAGTTTCAGTTGCAAAAGATAAGTCTATATTCCGTATAGTATTTATCCCACGGAACATCTTAGTCCAGCACTTAAGCTTTACATAGCAACAAAGTACATCTATATGCAGTGTTGATGATTACCACATATTTCCATCTCCCTCATGCTTGCGAGAACACAGATATTTATGTGGGTTATCCATTGATTTTTTTTCAACCCTCGCTGTCTTCTTTGTTCTCCAACACTGTTGGTTGATCATATTTTATTGAAGACGAATATTAACCCACAGTTTAGGAAGCTTCCTTCTCTACGTATCAATCTAGTCCATTCATCTCAGATTATCTGTAACGAGAAATTAGAATCTGAGTGTACCTTGTACTTTGATCTATCATTGACTTATGAAAATTTCGGTCCTCAGATCTGAATACAGTCCTCTTTGCCATGTAATCCCATATTTGGCTATTTACTTTCACAAACCAACAGTAACCATGATTTCTGAGTTGTGAAATGTTTGGTTCAAATATCCAAGTATTTCCCCTACTAGTAAAGACTGTGAGCAGAGTTCTACTAGGTTTTTCTATATTCACATTCTAACGAGTATCACTCTTCCGTTTAAATACATTGTCTAGATAATTAATAATGTGATGGCTTGTGGGCCACACTTACTTATCACTGAAGAATTTGTATATAAATCATATCTGCGGGATAGATCCCTCTAAAAAACAATTTTATTTGGTTCTTGTGACAACTGAATTCATGTAGTTTTCCTATATGCATGTGGCTACCTGATATGGTATGTATTGGCTTTTATGTTTTTCTTAGCTGGTTAAACTATTTATGGTTCCAAGATGAAAATTGCTTCTGACCGTGATCTTTCCATTGAAATGGAATTGCATATATAGGTTTGTCTGTGGCATACTTATCTGGAAGGCGGTCTACAACTAGCCAACAATTCGGAACATACACTCAAGATGATGTTGATTCCTTGAGGGCATTGTCTGAGGAGCCAGGGATTATTGATATATTCTTGACATATCCTTTTTATAAGCGCAATTACTGTCTTTCTATTTCTCCTCCATCCTTGGATTCTTGATGTGGTTATGCAATTTACAACTTGTTTGTTCCTTCACTTGATTTCACTAATGAATGGCCTAGTAGAGTCACGAATAAATCAGTAGCACTTGTCGTTCCTTCTGGGCTGTCAGATTCATCTATTGGTGATTCAACCGTGTCAGAATTAGTAGCAGAAATGAAGCCACGGTACAGAATAACTTCATTTCTTTGCTAATTTTGTAACATGAAATTGTTGTACAAGAATAAGTGAATCCGCAGTTTGATTCCAATTAGATGAAAGTGAAGGAGAAGGCAGATTTGGTTGACAAGTCACGAAAAAACAAAAATGAGCTCTAACAATTCCTATGCATGGCCTAATTAAAATAAGATTAAAGATATATAGTTTCAAACTCATGCATTACTCATAGTAACTAGTACAACTGCTTTGAAAACTTACGATCAACAGTTGAGGTTTAGTTTCGCATATATATTTTCATTTTTAAATTTCAACAATTTCTGTTGTGATGCTGTCCAAATTTGGCTCGTGGAATAAGAAATCAGACCCATTAAAAATAGTAAAAACCTTAGGCTCTCTTGTTAGATAGCTACCAAAACTGTAAATATGTTTTCTATTACTCCAAATGAAGTTGTTAGCAGGATATGTAGCCAACTGCCTACCAATACATCGATTATTCCTCTGAGCTTCTAGTAGAATCTGTTGGAAGGGAAATGAATGAATCTATAATTGTTTGGAGATCTATCTCTTGGGCCTACAGTTGATAGAAAACTTGTGAATATTAGCACTGCTGCAAACGAACAAAAGAACATTAGGGGTTTAGTTTGGAAGTTCCTAAAGCATGCCTGACATTACTTGCATTGTCATGTAAAAGGATGAAGGAAAGCTTTGTTGTTTATTAGTCCTTAAAATGTTGATTATTTTATGTTTTAGTTGGGTTGACCATAAAGTCATGTTTAAGGAACATCCTACTACTTAGTTCATTTGGAGACTTGTGTAAGCTGTACTGTTATCCTCCATGAAATCTGTGTCGAACTTGAATATGGTATCTAAGGCTTCTGTGTTGAGCTTGGGCGACTTGTCCTAAGGGGCTGCAAAAGGCCTGGTGGCCTTTTATGGAACAGATGAGAGAAGGTAACAAACGGGAAGAGAAATAGGAGAAACTATATACGTTGTGAAGAAAAGGAAACAGAGCACTTCTCCTGGTATATAAGAATTATGATCTTATAGGAATCTAATATTTTTTGTATAATTCTGAAGCTGATCTGTAGACTGTTAGGAGACTCCATGGAAAAAAGTGTTTTGTATTAAGACTGAAGAACCAGAAAAATGCTAATACAGAAAATGATGTTAATGCCCTACCTGAAACACCATATTTGAAACTGATTGGTAAAGAGACTAATTCATAATCATCGTGTCTGGGCACTCAATATTAGAAAGTGACTTCCTAGTTGCTGTATTATATCCAGTATAGTTGTTTATTTTACAAAGTTGAAACATATATCAGATTCTGCATGATTCTTAGGGAGATTGACCTTGCAGTTCAAAAATTCCCTTTGCTCTGCACCTCTAATCATTACTTGAGTATTACTAGCAACTAACGAGTGTCCACTGCCATAGTTTCCATATTGCAGGCACTGCTGGTGTCTACTATGACCGTGAACCTTATGCAAATATCGATGCTGTCCACGTGACTCGCTTTTTGGCCCTAGCTCCAGTTGGAAATAAAGACAAACAGGTCGTTTTCCTTATTCATTCTCTTATGATTTCTTGTAGAATGAATCATGTCTTTGCTTTGTCATTTCTCATGTTACATGTTTCCATGACATGGAGTCCGGATATTACATGTATGAAAAACATGTTATTTTATTCATCCGAAACGAGGTTATCTGCGTCATTGTATTCTTGTTATTCATCTTTTTCCAAATCGTGCTCTTGTATTGCCACCTTGTATTCCAGAAATTCATACATGCACTTTCACCTACTCCTGCATCCAAAATGGCCTCCGCTGAGATCTCCGCGAAACCTCCAAATACTACTTTGTCTCCGTATTTATCGTCTGATGAAACTGAATCTGTCAATGGAGCCATAAAAAGATCTGGTGACAATGATTCTGATGCACAGTATTGGCGGTACGATTCGTCTAAAAAAAGGCAGAAACATGGAGATGGTGATGGTGGCGATAGGTTGTGCTTCAAATTTGTGTCTTCAGGGTCTTGTCCGAGAGGGGATAAGTGCCATTTCCGACATGATGAAGAAGCCGAGGAACAATATATTAGGGGTGTGTGTTTTGACTTTCTAAACAAAGGAAATTGTGAACGGGGGCCTGATTGCAAATTTAAGCATAGTTTGCAAGAAGAAGGTAGAGGATTTTCTGGCAGATCTGGATCAGGGACTGGAAGCTCGACAAGGTAAAAATATTGTGGTTTCGAGAATGGTGTTTGTTTTTAACTTCATCAGATCACCTAATTTAAAAATTACCTAGATACACCTCGACTTAAATAAGGATATTGTGTTTTAGATCGAAGGAATGCTGGTTTTGTTTGTCAAGCCCCAGTGTGGAGTCTCATCTAATCACTAGCATTGGAGAATACTGTTATTGTGCACTTGCTAAAGGGCCATTAGTTCAAGACCATGTGCTGATAATACCAATTGAGCATGTTCCCAACACCCTGTCTCTACCACCAGAATCCGAAAAAGATTTGAATAAACTCCAGAGCAGCCTTAAAGCTTACTTCAAGAGACAAGGGAAAGAAGCAGTTTTCTTTGAATGGGTTTCTAAACGTGGGACTCACGCCAATCTTCAGGTAAGAAAAAAAAAAATCTCCGTTAATGAGCATGTTCTGTTGTATTAAATAAAATCTTTTAGTTTTATTTGTTATGATAAATGATGTTGTGTGTGTGTTTTTTTCATGTATTTTTTTTTTGCTTTATTATTTTCTGCTTTCCGGTGGTGTGCACTGTTACTCTAGTTAAGTAACTGAAATCATTTTGTCCTGCTATGGAATATGCCATGTTGAAATGTGACTAGTGTAACCTACAGCTGGATTAACCATTTCAGTTGTATGGCACTTGATTTACTGTTAACCAATATTCTGCATGATCATATGATAACTTTATAAACCTACCTTTTTGCAGGTTGTTCCTATTCCATCATCCAGAGCATCTTCCGTTGAAAATATTTTCAATTTAGCTGCTAAGAAGTTGGGTTTCACATTTACAACAATTAAAAGTAAGTCCGTTTTGTATAACTACAATGGCCAATAAGTACTTTGGATCAGTTACCACTTACGTGCTTTTGGTTTGTTGAGATTTTGTGCGGACATTGGAACCTTAGATCTATTGACCTTATCTGACTCATTTCTAAGACTGAGAGGTTGTGTTGTGCTAATTTGCCGCTCATATTCGGACTTTCCACTATTGCAGATGATAACAATTCAGCGCGAAAATTAGTGGGGATAAATCTCGATAAAAATCAGAGCTTATTTTATGTAGAAGTTCCTGGGGGTACAATCCTGTCTCATGTCGTTGAGGAAAATGAAAAATTTCCTTTTCAATTTGGCCGTGAGGTAGATATTTTAACTCCTCTCTCATGGTTTTAATGTTGTTAACTGAATCTTCTGCTAAGACTCTTAAGAGTGAGTAACAGATGGTATTACTTCCTATGTTTCCATATCACGTACTCACTGATGTATTTTTCGTGGATGATTAAAACCTAAAACAAGTACTTCAAAGCTCTTGAACACAGTAAGTGTTACAATTGTAACCTTTTCGCAAAATAAGATGATTTCTTTTTTCAACTATATCATAATATTTGGTCGTTATTAGATACTCTTCCACTAAATGTGTTTTATCCATTTTTGTTGTATGTGGATTTTTTTTGACGCACAGTAGTTATTCTGTTTTGTTCACATGTTCAGTAATATATATCCACGGTTGGTCACTTATCCTCCTAATGTTGAGTAATTTTCAAGAATTTACCATTTCTCATATTTAAAACCAGAAACAATTGGGACAAAGTTTTAATGAGTCATATCTATCAAATTGACTTTGTTTACTTATTTGTCTGACCTCGGTAATTGATCTGCCGAACCAATTAACTGGTAGATACAGTAAGCTATCATTATATGCTAGACTTTTTGAGTTGAGAAGCATCCTTTTGAACTTTTTTCCTGTCCATCTCTATTTTATCACCAATTTAGGCTTCTAAATAGAAGTTTCCATTACATCACTACTTCATCAGAGTATCTCTATCTCTTTACGACTTAATGCATTCAATTTCGCGTATCCTACATTGGAAATTTCTAGTGGCTTATGTCATCCTATAATAAATGCCATCATTTTAGGTTCTTGCTGGATTATTGAATATGGCCGATAAAGCTGATTGGAGGAACTGCCAGCTCAGAAAGGATGAAGAAACGAAGATGGCAGACGATTTTAAGAGTCAATTTAAGGAGTATGATCCAAACAACTAATAACTGCAACTTCAGGTACAGTACACCATAATTTCTCATAATGTTATAATGATTGATTTCCTTTGTTCTTTGTTAACTTTCAACCTTTGGACAACCACTTTCACTCGGCCTGCTTACTTACTACGGATGTTCAATATTTTTCGAAACCTTATATTGCTCGATCTTAGCGACTTGTTCTATCCATGCCTGCACGATGGATTCGAAAACAACCACCCTACTATCAAGAAGCACTAGATGCACGACATTGCATATAGAAATTGCGTATTTTAGCTGCCACTGGAAAACATACCCATCAAAGGGAATTTTGTGTTCACTAGTTTATGTGAGACAGTGTTAATTATTCAAAAATGAAATAAAATACTTCAAAGAATGGGTTTGTGTATGTTGCGTGTGATCTGATGATTTAGAATGTTGTTGGCAGGTAGGGCCAAGTTATCAGTCGGGAAGATTTTCTGGGTTCGGCTTCCATTGCACATAGTCACGGCTATGGTGGGAGTATACGTACTATTCCGTCCCTAATAGCCTGGAATCTCAGTCAAAGGCAATGTGTATATTGATGAATGTTGTACCATGAAAATGTGGTCAACAGAAAATGCTCTTGTTCAGAAATGAGTTCATCCATTAGTGTGTGTGTGTGTGTGTGCTGACATGTATAATGGAACTGAACCAAAAACACAATTGTTGAGCTTTTTCTCCCTGATAGATAATAAACCATTAAAGCACATTTTCTTTAATGATGGTCCTATTTTAATTTTGATCTGTTAGACTGATTGAGAATATTTTCTTGATATATATTTTTTTTTACTTTAGAATATTTTTAAAATTGCATTAATGTCAGTATTGTGACTTGTAGGTCGTAGGCATGCAGTGAATAGAGCAAGGAGAATAAAATGACTTTTGGACCCACGACAAACTGAAATTCCGAAGGAGTATGTGAGTACGAGATTGAGTTGGGATTCAAGATCTGTAGTTTTGAAGAGATTTTTTTTTTTCTCGATAAATTTTATATCTCAAATAATAGAAAGTACATACCGCGGACTAACTAGCCCGAATAGTTAATCTAGACAGTTGATGAATACACCAAAAGGTGAACAAATGAGAAAACTAAACAAAAATGAAGTTCAAGCCTTGGCAGCCTCGTAAGGCTTAGTCCAATAGTTTGAAGCTTCATTTTCGGGCCTAGCAAAAGCAATATACAAGGCACGACAAAATGAGAACTACCATTGCACCATAGAGCCTAGTAGGATTCT